GAGAGAGAGAGAGAGAGAGAGAAAGAAAGAAAGAAAAAGAAAGAAAGAAAGAAAGAAAGAAAAAGAAAGAAAGAAAGAAAGAAAGAAAGAAAGAAAGAAAGAAAGAAAGAAAGAAAAAGAAAGAAAGAAAGAAAGAAAGAAAGAAAGAAAGAAAGAAAGAAAAAGAAAGAAAGAAAGAAAGAAAGAAATATCACTTTAAGGACTAGAAATGACACCACTTTTGGAATTTGGAATTTGGTCTCTAACTATTGATCATTTTTGCTTATTTGTAGGGCATATTCCAGTGCTCCTGGAGAAGTACATGCATATTAGTGGTGACCTGGAAGATGCTTGCCAGCTGGGTACAACCTCAAGCTGTAGTGTCCTGTCCAGTCCAGTAGCCACTAGTGGCAGGAGTTACTGATAAGGTGATCCATGGCTGGTCCAATGTGAGATGTGCTGTTGGCATCAAATACACTCTGGATATTGAAGACTTCATATGAAAGAAAAGAATGTAAAACATCTCAACAATTTTCATATTATTTACATGTTGAAATGATAATATGTTAAATACATTGGGCTAAATAGAATATATTACTAAAATTACTTTCGTCTGCCTCGTTTTAAATTGTTTAAGTGGCTACCAGAAAGTGTTTAATTATGTTTTCACTGGACAGCGCTGTTACTGTCCTGTTGAATCCTCCGGGTCTTGTTATATCCTGTCCTGATATACCTATATTTCTTATTAAATGCATCTTCAGCATTTTTGAAACATTTTTGTATATATTTCCTTACGTTTCTGGGAAGATAGGTGAGAAGACATAATTTTCTGCATTACAAAGATAGAGAAATTGAATATTAAAGTGATTCATCCAAAGACTTTCTCCAAGTAACACATACCTATGTGGAAAAAATAAATAAATAGAACAGAAGGCCTCATCAGAGAAAGTAGCAGTCTTCCGCCTACCTCCCTGTTCCCTTCCTTGGAGGCAAACTCTATACATGTATGCATACTTTTTTTGTAGGGCTATTGGTTTTCTCAGTGTTACCCACATAGCTCCTATTGATGCTGAACATTTTATTTCAAGATATTTTATGGTATAACACCTGCCTTCACCAGAACAACTCATAGTCCATCAAAGTGGTGGCAGATTTTGGAATACTTCAGTCATCTAAGCATAGTCTCCAGCTTATAATAAGAACTTAGGATTATTTTCAGAATAAACGTGGAATAATTATTGAGAAAGTGACAAATATTCAACAACAGGTCACTTTTTCCATACTGAGATCTTTTGTGGGCACCATAGCTACCCTAAGGTTTGCTACACAGGGTAATAAAAGCATGAATGGCCCTGTCAGAGTCAGGATTTTCCCAACTTTTTGAACCAGGGATTCTTTTTGGAAAAAAAAAAAAA